TAGAACATGTATGAACATGTTCAACTGCAAAATCCTTTCAGCTCCATGTGTACCCAACTGACACGTTTCCAACATGTGCCCTCCAAAGGGGCTTTAGACTCCAAGCGTCCAAGCATTTGCTGGTGAGCTTTGCACTCCAAGTTTATCACCGAGCCTCAGTCCCCATTCTGTTGCGACACCAGCAATTGCGGTTGCGATTGCAGCTTCCAAATGATTTTAATCATTTTTAATCCATTCAAAACCCAAATCCAATCGCCAGTTTGCGGTTGGAGTTGAGCCAGCTGGAGAACGTTCGAGCTGTTCAGGCACTCACCTTTAGGTGGTGCATGGCAGTCGAAAAGCTGTGGATCAGAGAAGCATAGATAGCTGTGGCTGTCCTGGCTGTGGATGTCTGCATTTCACAGATTATTTGAATTTATTTGCGGTTCAGGGATCGGCACCAGACCTACCAAGTTGCAGTGCTATACCCCCGACCTGCAGTCGGATCAAGGCTGAACAAAGGCATGGAAGTTCACAGAGGGGCACAGCTAACTGGTCTTCCAAACATCGCAAACCACCACTTTGACTGGGTCTTTTTGCCCCTTCTCAGCCATGTGAAGCAGCTTCGCAGTGCCGTAATGCCAGGACAGAAAGTTCATCAACTGGCTGAAAGATGATGATAATCTTTGGATATTTGGGGGATTCTGAACTTCTATTGGATATTGATCATTTTTGCTGATTTTCTGATTTGTTCTCAGGATAGAAGATTCTCCCTATGGCCTGTTGAATTATTTGACCCCAGGGGTTGGCCCCATGAGTAGACAGATCGGATCAAGGAAACGGGGCAGCCAGCTTGCTGTCAGCATTGGCTTTGAGGCTCGACATTTTTGATATGTAAAAAAGACCCTTACTTTATACATCACACACTGGTGACTTCATGTTTTCTAGTTGATTTCTTTGTGAGGCGTCGGAGAAGCAGTAGAATCGGAACCAGAAGACATGGCTGACGATGTCTATCAATGAGACGCGCAGACCATGTTCGATGGGACTTCCAGCTATTCCATGCTATTCCATCCTATTCCTTTGATTGTGGCCATGGTCAAGGAGTCAACATATCCAGCAACAGCTCAGTATAAGCGGGAAGGATGGCAGTGCTCCGTTGCTTGCGTGAAGAGGGGTAGGCGCGTTGAGTCCAAGAGTCCAAAGACATCGAGGAGTGAGAAGTGCTGAATCTGAATGACAGGCTGAAACGAAGATGGCATCGTTCCAGGGCTCCAACAGCCGAGATATTTCCAGTCAATTTTTTTGTGTCAAAATCATTTGAGTCAAATTGAGTATCTGACAGTATCTGACAGTATCTGACAGTATCTGACAGTATCTGAGTATCTTGGGTCGGCATCTTACTGAGATGAGGGGCAGCCTTTCAAGACGAACCGCTTCGCCCTGTGCCGACTGTGCCATTGCCAATGTTGACCAGGGCACTGTGCCGTTGATCGATGTTTCGATGTTGATCTTGAATCACGCTGGAAAACATCGTCACGTGCTTGGGATTGCCAGAGTTGGCACTGACTCTCAGACTATTTTGGTTTGGATATGATTTGATTCGCAACTGCGCCGAATTGTGGTTCCAAGTGGCTAGACTAGCCAAAAAGATGTAAGAGAACATGAAAGAACCAACTGAAGAGAAGCCAAAAAGGTGAAGACAACCGAGCGGATCAAGGAAGGCCCTGAAAGCAGACACATGGGATCAGATTTGAAGCTTTTTTTTCTCTTCAACCTGGGCGCTTGCATTTTGACTGCCGAATCATGCCACGGAAAGTCCTGGGCTGAAGGCATCTTGTTGGAAAGAACGCCAGTAACGACAGTGACCACAAATAAACTACAGTAAATACACATGAAAAACATAGAAAAACATTGAAAACCCTTCTCATGGAACCTTATGGAACCTTATGGAATCACATGGAAACACATTGGGGGCACTTCTGCGGCGTTCGTCCCTTCATGGCGCCATGGCTGCTATTGATGGTGACAGTTGGCAAGGCCCAGATTACATGGGGACCGCAGCCCATGTTCCTTTCAGCCCCTTGGCACAAAGAATGGCAAAGATGGAATGTAGATGAATCTTAGATGAAGGCTCTTGAATGATCTCAAGGTTTTAGATATTGCCCAAAATATTGACCCCTGAGAACTTCTGCGATCTTTTCAAATAATCAAATCTATTGTCCCTTGGCACAAGAGGTTGGAATCAGGTCGAGGACCTCTGGTCAAGAAGAGGAACCTTCAAAAACTCTTGTTCTCATAGCCTAGCTGCATTTCTTTTCCAGACCACTACCATTTCTGTATACGGCTAAAGGAACATTTCAGCAGGCAAATCCAACCTCATCCCTGTGTCGAATCAACGTCCTCAGCTTGGTGTTGATCCCTTTCTCTGTCACTTTGCAGTCCCGGCTTTGCCCAGGAGACAGATGACTTTACCAATCAGCAGAGACTTTATGAATTGCTGCAACAAGCATACTTGACTGCAGCTTGGCAGGAAACTGCTTTTGTATCGCATGGCAAAGCAAACGAATATTTGCAGGTCTACCAAATTCTCTGACAGCCAAAGAGAAGAAGCTGCCATGAGACTGTATTGTCTAAGGTGGTCCATGTTTGCTTGTCTGAAAACAGGGTACAACCAAAATTTGACGGTGAATTATCGTGAATTATGAGTTCCAATTTTGTTTAGTGCCCATTTTAAGATACCCTCCATGTTCAGACAGACCCTGGTGAACTGTTGATCCTGTTGTACGATATACTATATTCCACTCACATCCATGATATCCTCCGTTATGGTTACTTGCCCTGCTTTGTTCTAAATTTAATCCCATGAAATCCCCATGTTTGATGACTAAATGATAAACAGATAATATGACAGATATGGGTAGGGGACATTGCATGGCACAGGACTACGAAGCGCGTCATCCCGAGCACCGCCTGGCGAAGGCTTTGGCGGCGGAGCTGGTGGAGTTTCAGCAGCGCGCCGCTTGGCGGATCATATGGCAAGGTGCTGAACAATTCAAACCTATACCTATATAATGATTATAAATTATAATGACCGTTACATGAACCTTAGATGAACCTGAGATGAACCTTAGATATCGATAAATTAGGAATAAGGAGCGAGTTCACTTTGTAATCCCGCACAACTAGCCCCGGCAAGTACTTATGGGTTGTCACTTGCGAGTTCTGAGTCTATGCACAAAATAACATGAAGCGAGCTTCGTATATCAGGGGCAAGGCCGGGCAAGATTCTTTATCTGGACTTAAGGTGCCCACGTCACCGTCGCTTGCTCTGGCAGTGGCCATGGGGAGCCTTGGCTTGTTGGACCCACGGGGCGCAGGTGACAAATGGGACTGTAGGAAGGTGTGTCCGTTGGAGTTGGATTTTGTTTGCTGCATGTCGGTAGAGCCTGAGGAAATACCACTTTGCTTGGTACAAAGAGGACGGCAAAGTCGGAGACTAAGATCGCTCGGCCAGCATGAACTCATGTGAAGCGTCGCTCTATCTGACCGCATTTGTGTTTGCCGCTTCTTGGAAGGTGGACGTGCAAAGCGTGTGGGAGGCGGCTGAGCTTTTGATGCTCAGTATCCAGCAGCTTGAAGCATAACCCGCTCACCTGGAACTTGCGGAAGATATACCGATATACTGATATACCCATTACATCCCACGACATCCCATGACAGTTGCAGCTTGGCTCAGGTTTAGCCAATGCGATCGCTCAGAGTTGCCCATGGAGGTGTTTTTCCAGCGCATGTGCGACTTGGAGTGCCATTTGGTGGGTTTGCAATTTTGCCAAGTTCTGTTTGAGAGATGGCTGGCACATGCTGGCACATATCTTAGATCATTTAAAGTTGCTTGGGTCCAGTTCTCTTTCTGATTCTCAGTGCCGAAACCTTGCAATCCCTTCACCCTAATATTAAACGTGTCCCCCCCAATAATAAAATCTAGGGGTAGTTTTTATTGTTGGGGAGGTATCCAATATTCAGGGAGAAGCTGGCCCCTAATATTGAATTCAAAACCTTAATATAAAGATACTATTTTCTTGATTTCAAAATCAATTAAAATCCTTTTTAAAATCTAATTAAACTATTGCCAAAAATTGGATTTCGACGCTTTCACCTAATACTGAATTTGAAACCTTAATAACGGCTAAAATCTTTGATTTCAAAATCAATTAAATTTCTTTTTAGAATCTAATGGAAATATTGCCAAAAATTGGATTTCGAAGCTTTCCCCTAATATTAAATTGACACCTTTAATTACATTTTTTTATAAACGGCCCCTAATAAAAAACACCTTGGGCTTAACTAGTTTTTATTGTTAGGGGGTATAGAACCTTCAATTTGGACCGTGATTTTTAAATTGCTTTCGAAAGGGGATCAAGTAAAGTCAAATTGACCCACCTGAAATCTCCCAAAACAAATACCCTGGGGTAGTTTTTATTTTTTAGAGAAGTTTTAACAGGGAGAAGGGATTAATCTTCCTGTCCTTTAAGTCTTCAAGCCCAGGCCACGTTCGGTGGCCGTATGCCGTGCTGCTCTTCAGCGAGCTGGGCCGCGAGTTTGCGTCCAGGACGGAGAGATGAGATCAGACTTGGCTCAGGGCGTGGAAGGCGTGGAAGTTTGATGCCAGGTACTTGACAGAAGAGGCAGCCAACACCTTGGAAAGGCGGGGATCAAAAGGGCGAGGGTCACAATTTTTTGGCTGGAAGCCTGGGAGCCGCACTTCAGCATTCTCAACTCCTCAAGGGTATGGAAGGCAGTTGCTTCCTTCACTTTGCATTTTTATTTTTTGTTCAGTTTCTATCTGTTTCTATTTGTTTTTGATTTTTTGTTTTGGCAAACGGGGCATACAGCTTTTGATCAAAAGTCCCTTTCAACTTTGATTTGATTGCTGATCCCTCCAGGGCGCTTGCGACCTTCGACGCCATGAAGCTTTTGCCGTATTATTCGCAGATGTCTTGGCAGAACGCTTATGACGTGAACTTTAATGAGGACTGGTAATGATTTTAATGACAGGATATGACAGGCTTCTTATGTCCAGACTCAGGAGAACTTGTGGCCGACCTGTCAGGAGTGGTCTCCTGGCAGTGCAAACATTGGCCCCGTGTGGGACAAGTCTATAGCAGCTGGTCTGATGCCAGTGGCAGGGGGAGGTCAAGGTGAAAGGGAGGTGGACCAGTCGTCTCCAACGGAATTCGAATGAACAAAAGTTCTCATGTGCCCAGGTACCTTTAGCGCAGCTGCTGGAGTCCAAATTCCCATCTCTTCGAAACGAGCTGCAAATGCTCCAATCAGATCCTGGCCTTTTTGACGAGCTATCCTTTGAGCACTCCAAAGTTGAGGCCTCGCCTTGTGACTTGACTTCTCTTCCAATAGCTTGTGGAAGCTTCCAAGAGGCACAGTTCAGAAGGTCTCTGATCATCCAATCATCAGCTCTTTACGTCGTGGCATGTCTCCAGGGCCAAGCTTCCTGGCCAGAGGGTGGCTGGCGAGCAGTGCAGCTCCGGCAAGGCAATGGCGCTTGGCAAAGCCGCGCTTGTGACGTGTTACCTTCGACCTGTGCGCTGCTCTCCACGCGGCCCGAGCTTAGCTGTGCCAACTCCGGTGCGGCTTTGGTGAGGCCGACACCAGTGAACTCCCCGAGAAAGTTCAGCTGATTTTTTTGTCCCCCTGTTCAAATCTGTTCAATATATTTTGATTATACATATTATACTCTGAAAATTGTGAACATCTGTGACAGAGTCCCTTCAGCAGAAAGAAGCCTCAGCCCACCAAACTTTTTAGTAACTGCTAAGTGGCTCCCACTGCTTGAGGCTGCGCCCGGGTGGCCGTCTCAAACCTCATTTCGGAAGCTTGGCGAAATCAGGGAGATCTGGGAGGTGTTCGGAGAGATCTTCACTCACCTTTATTCTGAACAGGCACAATGCATAGTCAGATTTGACATGGGGAGGAGGTGTGGATCTGGAAGTTCCAGCTGATATCGCCCAGGTCACTGTTGAATGTCTATTTTACTTCTAGGGGAGACATTGTAACTTGTAACATTATACCAAGTTCATCGAGGCATACAGCAGGCGGAAAACCACTGGAACGTATTGTAAAACTGTTTGGCAAGGCCCTGCGCCGCAATTGCAGCTACACATAGCGCTGCGAGCTGATGTTGGTGCCAGAATGAGCGTAGGAAATAGGCTGGGCGTTTGCAGCAAATCCCAGGATTCATAAACTCATGCATGTCACGCATGTCCCTTGGTACTTGCCAACCAATGCCAGACATTAAGGCCTTCAATTCTGAGATGATAAGTACCTGGTAGCTAAGCGGACACACACTCGACTTCAACGGATTGGGGTGAAAACCAACTTACCATTTCGCCTCGCAACACTTTTGCATGGGAGGACCTTGAGCTGGCAGACTGGTGAGGTCCTAGTTATAGATGGCAGCTTTATACACCAGGAGAGGCTGGAGTGGCGACACTCACGTTGCGACCAAGCTAAAATCTATGCCGTCTTTGCGTCTATGCCACTCTCCATGGTTAAGTTTGTGACATTTTGCGGAACAGATTTGATGAATGTTCTGACGACATGAATGTGATGACCATTTTTTAATATTCTTCGGTACTACTTGTGGCGCGTCAGGAGTGGCACAATGGCGTTCGGGGTGACAACTTTGTTCTGCAGGCAGGGCGACGATTTCTTTTCTGTTTTGCTCACTTCGTTTCCACATATCTTTTGGACGATTTTTGGAGTTGGTCACTGCGATTTTACTGACGCCTCGCATTTCACAGTTTGAACATAGAAGCCTAAGAGGATTGATAGATGCCATGTTCCGAGCCCCACAGAGACTTTACCATTTGAAGAAGCAGAGTGCTGCTCATGACACAATCATCCCGTGAGCTACTTCGAGTTCCAGGTCACGTTTTGCCATCCCTGTGACGAGAGTCAAAGACCACTTTATGGACCCTTACAATGTGGGAGGCGAGGAGACAAGAGACTTCACCTCGAGTCTGAATGGATCTGACATTCGTTTTGACTTTTTGGATTTGATAAGTTTTTTCTCAAGGAATGCAAAGCTTAGAGACCAATACTCACACTTTAATTGGTTCATTCTGCTGCCCACATCAGGCCCATTGCAAGTCCTGGTGCCGCGCGATCAGCGGTGGAATATCAGGCCTTTTTCAAATGGCGGTTTTTGTTCTGTCTAGCCGCAGCCAGTTGCTTAGCACAGGATGCTGCTACTCTACCAGTACCTTTCGCAGCAGCAGCGCTTTGGGCCGTCAGCCTGCCGGACTTAGCGAAGTGCAGTGCCTTGGTGCAGGAAAGGTCAATGTGGGGATGTGGGGAGTCTATGTCTGGAAGGGAAGATCTTGGAAGCCAAGGACTTGTGGTGACGTAAGAAGTCTCATAATGAAAGGAAGAACATTTTATATCATTTTATGAAATTTTATAAATATATAATATATGCAATTTTCAGATCCATTCAACTATATATCCGTGGTCTTATAAGACTGGGAGGGGGCACCTGCAATGCTCCTCTGTGAAGTCCTGATTTCTCATTTTAAAGCAACGTTTGCCACGCGAAGCGGATTACCCAAAGCGACAAGCTTGACTGGCTGAAGGCAGCATCAACGAAGAATGTCCGCCAGACTCGCAGCATGGGGGTCCCAACCCTCTAAGCGACTTGGCATAGCTGGTGATTCACTGGTGATCGTGGCCCTTCACGGTTGCGGTTTCTGCACTGTGCTCAGCCGAGTCCTGTCCAGTCTCCAAGCCGAGGCGCTTTGAACACCTGGAATTACATCATGAATAATCTGCGTGCTGCGATACGACACACTACATCCCAAACTCAGATTGATCCCCAAGTGATGACTGCTATTGGGCAGGCAAGGTTGCACAATGTTGCACATGTGTTCAACTTTGAAGCCTTCTAGTGGAGCTCAAGTAGGAAAGCAGAAAAAACTGTCTCAAGACCAAAAGACACCGGAAGCATCCGGAAGATCCAAAAGCGCTGTGCTTTCTTTACCTGAACAAGCTTACAGTAGAACAGCCTTATAGCCATTCTTTCGGCCAGTTTTCTCTCTCGCTTCATGCTCTGGTTTCAGACTCCAAAGCGTATGGAAAAGTGGGAGAAGGGTCTGAGAAGGGTTCAAAATGATTCAGGGCTGTGGTGCAGCTGGTGCAGGTTCAGGAAGGCATCCAAAACTTTCTGGCTATGCCCTCGCTGGAGCAGTACGCACCTGTCGTCACGTTGGCGTCGCAAATCTTGGAGGCTCTCACGTGCCGTACTCAGCTCCTGCGGAGTAGACGCTGACAATTTTCCTTGATAGATTGGCTACACGCACCGACGCACCTCCATTTATATACGTATATAATATATATATATATATAATTATATATATATATATATATTATACACATAATAACACATAATATATATATATGTAATATAACGTATATATATATATATATGTAATATGACATATATATATATATATATATAATATGTATATTGGATTTCCATGGATTTCCTGGACATGGGTTGGCACGAGGCCCTGGCTGCGACAGCAGGCTCCGGCCATGCTGAAATTCCCTTCGCCGGCGGCTCGACTCCCAGTGCCTGCAGATGGAAGAAGCCCAGGGACCTTCGCATTCAGGTGCTGGTAATGCTGTGCTAAGCTTGACCTAAGCTTCACTTGTTGGGCCTTGTTGGGTGTTCCGGATGTATCTACAGACTTGAACCGCTCCCATCATATTCCATCAATGGAAGTGCGCAATAGCTTGCATCAGAAGTGCTTGATCTCAGAAGTGGCCACTTGATCTCACGAATCCGGCAAAATTGTGGAGGAATAAGAGCTTAGCGGATGGCTGAAACAGATTGATTATGGTATATATATATATTCATATATATATATTCATATATATATATATATTCTGTTCATTTATCCACCAGGCTCTCCAATGGTGTGGAGATGCCCGCAATTGGCTTCGGCACGTGGAAGCTTGAGGGTGAGGACAGTGTGTTATACTGCAAAGATTTGCAAAGTATTTGAAAGCATTCGGACTCATCCGGGTCAACAAGAGTTCTTGAAGTATTCTTAACTTATGCCTGTCTCACAGTTCCTCTCACAATAGTCAGAACTATAAACATTACGACCCGGCTTTCCCCTGTGATTTGATAAGTGTCTAGATGGAGGATCCAAGTTGGCCTTTTGAGAGTGCACGCTGTTCATGGTGTCAAAGTCCCCGGGATTGATCGCAAGAGAAGGCAGGGGTGGCATCGTTCGCAGGCCTGCTACCAAACTGTGCTTGCTGCACTGCAGCTACCTGGCAGCTTTAGACACGAGCACTGCAGGCAGTGAGGACAACAAGGTTTTCGTCAGGATGAAAGATTTAAGATATTTAAGGATTCGTCAATCCAAGAAAGCATTGAGTTGTACAGTAGGATGTTGTAGGTAAAATCCACCCACCATCCAGACAAGGATTGCACGAAATCAAGCTGCTTGGAATCGCTCCTTTGAAGGTTGGGGCTTCGCCACATCGATACGGCGGAAGCGTACCAGAACGAAGCTGAGATAGGCCGATTTGATTGCTGATCGCTCGAGTCTAATTTTTTTTATCCGTTTGTGTGTTGCGGGATACTTTAGTGCAACCCCTGTACTTGAGCAAACCTGTCTCTGAGCCTGTCTCTTCTTGTCAGTCAGACCTTTCCTTTTCACTTGTTTGTGGAAAGCACAAGTCTTCGTTTCTTTTCAAGAAATATAGTTACTAGTATAATTTCATATATTGTAATTTATAATATGTTATAACTATAAGACTATAATCACATTTGTATCTAGATTATAATATCTAAATGAATTTCTTCAATGCCCCACCTGCCGACCTGGTCAGGTCGTGCAATCCGGGACAGCCAAGTCCCGCGTGAGAAGCTCTTCATTGCTACGAAGGCGACCAGCGTTGCACTGGGCATGGCAGAGCCTTCGTAGCTTGG